TGTGTGTGTGTGTGTGTGTGTATGTGTGTGTGTGTGTGTGTGTATGTGTGTGTCTCTTTCTTTGGCAAATACATATGCCCTCTAGGAAATGAAGTAAATAAATTAATTAATAATTGCCATCATCTCTGAAATAAATATCAATCATGCACACACTCTGTAATGTGTACTCTTTTTAATCTCAAGATTGGTAAAGAAATCTTTTTTTAAATTTTTTTAGTTTAGTTTAGTTCAGTTTTGTTTTCAATAGGGTGCATGCATTCACAGAAGACACCATAGTTGGCACGTGGGGGTTCAGCACCTTAACCACCATGCCACCTGCTGGTCCCAGAACACTATCTTTAACACAGAGCATTAGGTATTTCACACAGAAAGCTCAGGCAATCAGAAATACCAGAAAGTTTCAGTTTTGGCCAATTTATTATTTTTTAATCTATACATTTTAAAAGCTATAAAACAAACCTTAATCATGGCCATTAAACAAATTAGCTGAACTTTATTTCCCTTTCAGACTTTTAAATTGAAGAGTATTCTTCTACTAACCATAAGATCTTTGCAAAGATTTTGTTCCTTTGAACATTTAGAATTCTAAAATGATTATTTTAAATACTGCTTTTCAATTACTATTTATTTCAGGATCCCACCTGGTCTCCTGGTTCTCAAGTTTCCATTAAACGTAAAGAAAATACCATATCTTACAAAGATGGTATTTTTACATTAGAAGATGACATCAAGTAACTTACACTCTATTCCCTTGAACAATATCCACATAGTCTTCAGATCGAGCATAGTATCCATCAGGACTCAAAGCCCCCCAGAAGTTGGACCATAGCTTTCCATGACGTGTTACGAGAGGAGCAATAATCTTTCTAAATAAAGGAAAAGCAACCCATGAATTTACTTATTTTTAAAACACCAAAAACTTAAGTGCTTTGAGAACTGGGATGACAGACAATACAAAGAAGTTCATTTTACATACAGATTGTTAATCCAAAATTAACATAAAAAGAGAAATTTCTTCCCAACATCTTTTCTTAAACAATTAAGTGCACCACTAATATTGTATCATTTTTCTTAAAAAGAAAAAATAACAAAAAGGAAAAAGTCATTTAAAAGGTTCATGTAAATACATAAATTACTTTGAAAAGTTCCTTCCTTACATCCAAGATAGTGAAACTACATTAATTATTTAATTATGCTTAATTCAACTGTTTCAGAAATTCCACTAAGTGAAATAAAATACTTTTAGTTTCACTGGGCATTCAGAACAGGTCCTGGTGCTGTAAGGTAGCCAATAAATAGTTGTTGAATTAAATAAAAAATAGAAAAAAAAGAAAAAGAAAGAATGAAAAGGGGCTGAGACTTCTGTAAATAGGCCAGCTTTCCGAAAATCAAATCCCAAATTATTTTAAAGCATGTTTCCTTTTTTCTTTAAATGGATTTAAAATGAACTGCAGTTACTGTAAGCTAGCCTTGGCAACACTGAATATTTTTCTGGTTACTCAACTATTTTAGAAAACAAAATAGAAGGTAAGGCCATCGTGTTCTATCTCGGGACAGAGGGCCCTTTGAAACAAGCACATGCTACAAACTCAATATGCCGAATTTCTCATTAGGGAAACCTAATTTATAACACCAGCATTCTTCAGAGAGATCACAAAATCTGAGGCTCCCCGAGAATTACCTCTAAAATGCAGTGATATCAAATAATTTTTTTGAAAGATTTTTGCCATCGGGCACATGTGCTTGCTGGAGAAAGACAGCGAGAAGGAAAGTGAGGAATCACCCCCAGGGGAGTAGCCATGCTGCAATCCCTTTTCCATTCTCCTCCTGAGGTTTTGGGCATGCACGCACAGGTGCCCATGTGCCAGCATGATTTTGAAGTCACCAGATTCAGGATTCAAACAGCAGTCGGCCATGTGAGAGTCCAGCAACTTAACCACCATGCCAACTGCTGGCTCCGCTACTACATAATTTTTAAGAAAAGCTCAACAACTCCTCTGAGTTGAAGTTTAGAGACCAACCATTCTCAAATACAAAAAAATAACCTACTAACCAAAAAAAATTTAAAAAATAAAAACAAAAACTATTTCACAATACACTAATCTTATTCAAACTATCTGGACTCATTCTCTTACATACATAAAAGGAAAATAAAATCAATAAATACACACAAAATAATAATTTTGGTTATCTTCCTGGTACCTATTAAAGTAAAATATTAACCAAAAGAACATGCTTAGTTTTGTTTAGAATATCTACAATATTACAAATAACATTAAAATCTATTTTCATTAATTTATGAAATGGTTATTTTATGGTAATAACTGACAAGATCAAGTATTTAATGAAAAAATTTGTTAATTTATAATAATTACAAGCTACTTCCTTAAAATAATAATTATAAGCTACTCCCTTCAAAGGATTGGAACACAAGACTTAGAAAATCAAAATCTGCTGTCCGTTTTTGAAAATGAAAGCATAAGGACAGCAGCTGGAGGGGGGATGATGAATTTTGTCATATCATTTAAAGAATAAAATTTGAAGCAAAGAAGTAAATAACAGAGATAGGAAGAGGAGAGGGAAAGGGAGGCTGACTAGATGTCGGGAAGCCACATGGCAGAGACAGGACTATGAAATCTTGCTACATTCTTGGTCTATGTAAATATATATTTTTTTTTTTTTTGAAGAGGTTTTTGCTACAGGGCGCATGCGCTCACCAGAAAAACACAGACAGACAGAGAGACAGAAAGTGAGAAATCACCACCCCCAGGGAGGATGGCCACGTAGCAATCCCTTCTCCTCCATTCTCCTCTCGGGATCTTGGGGGCATGCACACACACACGCCAGGTGAGAGTTTGTACGATAAAGTATACGAGAGAAACTGCACCAGATTTCAAAAGCACCTAATAATGAAAAATTCAAGAAAATGTAACATTAAAAAAAGATACAGTTCCATAGGTTCTCTTTTCACCATTAAATGAGTAAAATATAATCCTTCTCATGCTTTTAAAGTTGTTGAACTTTTATTTTTTTTAACTTACTAAGAGGATGGAATTTTTAAATGGCTCACCTTTATTTTTCAATTAAAAATCTAGAATAGACCGAATTACTTTTATGAATATATGCATCAAGTTATTGAGCAGGTGACTTCATATATTATAGTTTTCCTTTTAAGGATGGCACTTGAGGAACAAAGATACAACCATGTCTGCGACCTTCAGAGGTTTTCTTGAAAAGACTCTTCAGCAGCAGGTTGATGCTGGGTTTCCTCATTAAGCTGAAGATTCGCGAAGTCTCCATAATCAAAATGATATCTTTGACTGAGATGACTAAGAAAATGTCTAGTAACGTGGCTAGGATCTCCCCAAGGAAGGGACACCAAAATAGGACATGTCACAGGAGCTGAAGTAGGTGGTTACTATGACAGTGACCCAGTAAGTGCTGTCTGGTAAAATCTGATCCTGTCCAGGGATAAAAAGTGGGATGCACAGAAGAACTTGTCTTCTCTCAGGAAGTTTCTGGGTGTTCACATGTGGATGTTCACTCCTATTACTGCTCCCTGCTGGATCTGGAGCGATCTGGAAGTTGGGAATGCTTGCAGAAACACTGTATTCATGAGTATTTGTAAAGTTGTCTCATGTGATGGAACTTATCTGCTTTGCTAAGCATCTGCAGCCGCCAGAAAACTTCCTCATGATACATCCAAGGTCTAAGGCCCGTTCAAGACATGCATTTCTCTCTTATAGTCACATTTCCACCACACAAGGGACAAGGTACTCAGCTTTCTCTCATGGCAGTCAGGAAATACGTGCTGTCAGGCTGTGTCTGCCTGTGTCAGGCACCTCCGGACAGACCAGGCAGGAGAAATCGCCTTTGGTGTAAGGCGTGGTCCCGCAGAGCTCCTGTGCCATGGCGGGGGTGGTGGAACAAGGGGATGGCTCCGGGGGTGGCGTTGGCGATGGCACCCGGCTAGATTCCGTTTCCAGGCACTGGTCTCCTTCTGACTCAGGCTCCAGCCTGTCCACAGCACCCCGACTCCTCTACTGACGGGGGTCGTCGCTCAGAAGCCCCCAGCGGTGCTGTGGACGGAGCTGCTTCTCCGACGCCTGTTGGTGCAGAGGGGGTCCGAGCTGTCCTTGGGCTTTTGGCAGAGTCACTGCCTCCTTCGGGCGTCCAGGCCCCGCGGCAAATAGAGCAAGTGCTCATGGGCCAGAGGGGGCCCGGAGATAGGCTCAAGGTGCACCCGGGTCCTACCGCCCAGCCAGGAACCCTCTCCCTCCACCACTGCGCCACTGCGCCACCTGCAGTCTGCCTGGCTGTGGTCACCGAACTCCAGAGGGTCACAACTTGAGTGTTACTGATGACAGGGAACAGGGTGCCAGATGGCAGCTGCTTTCCTTATGAGGGAATCTTATCTTTCAGACAGTATAAACATTAGATTAATATTAATTTGGATACATGTTAAAAACACAGGAAGAATTTGTGAAATAGTTCATTAAGAGAATAGCAAGTACCTACCAAAGTGTCATAAAATAAAAGCATCTAATTATTATCGAAAGTATATATTCGTTGCACATTATTGCATTTGAATCAAGAGGAAATTAACAATGCAAAGTCAGGAATAACATTACTGAATTCCAGTCGCTTTTTAAAGAGTTACGAATTACACTCTTATCTTTAGGGTTGCCCAACTCCTTTTCTTTGCCAAATGATCAAACCTTATTCATATGCTTTGAAAAGGAACCTGCAATGTGCAGTTAATGACCTTGAAAATTTAAGTATCTATAGAAGTTAGACAGTGGGGCCGAATGCCTTTTCCCATTTTAATTCAGTGAAATGAAAACAGGCATTGCCCTATGATAATTCATTTCACAGTAAATAAAACTGTATATCTGACTGTGAAATGATCTGTAATTCTGAAATTGCAGAATCTAAGAACTACAACTCTCTAGGCAATGACTTTTAGGACAGAAGCTTTATAAGTGCTATTCTGTAAATACAGACAGTGAATATAGACAGTGGCACAGAGGTAATGTGCTATCCCAGTGACGCTAGATCCCATAAGGTCAGCTTCAGCTGACACACGCCAGGTTCGCCAGGAGTGCCCAAGATCCCGAGAGCTGGAGGACTGGAGGGAGGGGATTGCAATGGGACCAGACCTTGTGGAGTGTGTTCACCCCTCACTCTCTCTCATTCTCATATGCATGCACAGATGCTCTATCATGAATAAAGAAATAATAAAGAATAAAATTAAATAATAAAATTAAAATATAAAAAATATAAATAAAATAAAATAAAATTTAAAATCTCTACAGAGAATAAAACAATTCTAAATTTATTAGTATCAGGTATATCATAATGTCACCTAGCTTTAAATAGGCCAGATATGGGTGAAGAACTCATTTTTTTTTGTTTGTTTTTATTTATTTACTTATTTTAATTTGACCAGAGAGGGATAGAGAGAGAGAAAAAGAGAGACAGAAAGTGAGAAAGCAAGCTGCCATGTCCAGGACTTGAACCATGGTCGGCCATGTGGGAAGCCAGTGCCCTTAACCACCATGCCACCTGCCGGCCCCCGAACTTCTCATTTGTGATTGTAATATTAACTACTCTATCACTCAGTTGTTTTCTAAAAGTAGTTAACTAGTTTTGAAACCTTACAGAGTCTAGAGAATAATATGAGTTTTCTCAATTTTCTAAACACAGGGTGTACTTACAGTTTTATACATAGCTATGGAAAATTACCATTTTAATAATAAACTGGCATTGAATCATATATGGTACCTGTTTTGTTCAATCAAAATTTTTAAAGTCTTTGGATTTGTCAAGACAACATCTGCATCCACACTGAAGTAATAATCACATTTTTCATCCTGACGGCAAAAATCCCTAACATTGAAAAAGAAAAGGAAATACGAATTAGATCCAATAAATATCTGCTGGTTGAAAAATGTTAATGTAAAACTTAAGTGTAAAATAAAGTCTAACATACTTTCCAATCAAAACAATGGGCCACTATTCAAAAGGGTAATTATTATCTTAAATTTCAAAATAGTCAATTTTTCACTACATGTTTCTAGGTAGATAAACACTAAAATTTTAGGCCAAGTAAAATATGTTTTCAAGTCATTAAATATTTTAAGGCATGAAATAGCCCGTCCAAATGGCAATTTGTAATTTAGTTTCTCATCCTTTTTGAAAGGGAAAAATTATTTAACCCCGCGTATTTATCCACAACTCTTTTTACAAATCACAATGTTTTCAGCACACACATACATACAATGCAAAATCTTGGACATTCGACAGTTCAATTTAGGTGAATCCTAGAGATGCAAACGTCTGACTCTTTATGTATTAATACTTTCAAAACTTGATTTGCGTGAAATTCTTTCCACGATAGTTATTCCTTTGCCTTCTTGACCGAGAGATAACGACTATGATGTCTGCTTTTCTTGGTAGTCTTTAGCATTATTATCAGAAATACCGAAGAATGAAACACTCAGGATAGCAGGGTAAGAGAAATGCTTCCACATATAATAGCTTTTGCATTTGGGGTTCTCTCTTCCCCGGTTTTGAGCTCCCTCCCTCTCTGCTGTCCCAGTTATCAATTTCTGCTGTTCTCTGTGTGTTTTCTCCACACCACAGTTGTTTCTAAAGAACTGCCAAACCAGATACTAGACAGGGAAACTGGTTACAGCTGTGCAACAAATTAGAGAAAAGTTTTGTGGACCCAAGGGATTATCCAATGAATAAATTATGGAACCATTAAAAATAACATCTGTTTGGTTTGTCGGAGGCCTGCTTTCCGGCCTATCCCTGCATTCCTATTCCAGGAACAATCTGTCAATTTGAGTCTTGAGCTCCTACAGCACAAGGCGTTAGGGTTAGCAGTACACAAGAATATCTCCTGTGGGAAGGCATCTTGTTTCACCTTTTCTACGGGCAGCTCTTAACACACTGCCTGGCATGTTCGATTAACACACTGAGTAACGATTGCTTTTACTAGGACCAGAGTTATATTCCTGTCAGAAGTATTTGAGGGGCTCAACAAAGGACCTAAAACATAAATTAAAGTCACTGCTAACAGCAGTCCTACTATACATCTATCTGTGTATTTAAAAAAAAATTAAATCTAAAGTTCAGTTCATAGCTTGATTAAATATGATACCTCCTAGCGATTAAGAAACATGTAGGTAATGTCCATGGTTCTTTACATGTAAAAAATACATACAAACACAGAAATAGTCTTAACGGTAGAGCTCTTGCTATTCAGTGTGTACACACGCACACACACACACACACACACACACCACAATTAAGACATGCAAGTAAGCATACTAATTTTGAAAATGTTTTCTTCTTAAAGTTCCTTTAGTAGAGTAATATAATTAATTAAATTTAAATGTATTATCACATACATTCCCATGTTTCTGGCTTCAGCTTGTCTTAGATTTTCTTCTGGTCCTACTATTTTTATAGTACTGATTTCATGTTTGGCTTTATCAAAAAATACCTTGATGTCCTTTTCATGATAAACTTCCTGTAACATATTTTAGAAATCAAAAATTAAAGAAGAAATACAACCATAAGATGACTGAAGTATTTATATGTAGAGTGCTTCACATGCAAAGTAGTGCATTCCACAATTCACCTATTAATCCAATTACAAACAAAATAATAACCACATTAAATAGGCTATAGTTTAATATCACATGTCACATGAAAAATCCAAAATATATACATAGAATATTCCTTAAAAAGAACATACTACAAAAACATTTTAATATATCTTCCTAGACAGGTCTTTTCATAAATATTTAAATCTTACTGCTCACTGTATAAGTATTTAAATCCTAGGTGCTATAAAATGTTTCTAACTCAAAGAAAAAATAATGGCTTCTAGCCTGAGGATCTTAGACATGTGTTGTAATATATCCAGAAAAATTGTTTATTAAACCTAATAGACAATCTGAGATTTAAATAAAAACAAGTACATTTTATAAAATAAAAAAAATTTAACTTTTGCTATTGGTTGCATGAGCTCATGGGAGAGAGAGATAAGTGAGAAATCGCCCTTCAGGGGGATGGCCAGGACACAATCCCTTCTCCTCCATTCTCCTTTTGGGACATGTATGCATGCCCAGAATGTTTTTAAGCCTCCAAGTCTGAGACTTGAACCACACAGTCAGCCAAGTGGGATCCGGTCACCCTAACCACCTTGTCGCCTGTCTGCCCCACATAGAGATAATTTTAAGAAGAGAAAAACTCTTTCAAGCCATTTAAGGTTATATGAAAACAGGAATATATAAATAAAAGGGCCAATATAAAATAATAAAACACTTTAAGTGCATATATTATGACACATTTCACAAAGCAAATGCTCAGTTCTTTACCCTTTAAAGCGTACTTAAACTGGTTTCCTGCAAATGTAAAATATTCTCTGAAAAACGGTGAATGATTGGGACCAGCAGATGGAGTAATGGCTATATTGCTGGCCTCCCATATAGTCAACCATGGTTTGAGTCCTGGACCCAAAGGCTTCAAATTCATGTCGGATGTGCATGTACGTGTGCCCAAGATCCCAAGAGGAGAATGGGAGAGAAAGAGTGCATAGTGGCCATCCCCTCTGGGAGGTGATTTCTCACTTTCTGTCTGTCTATCTCTGTCTTTCTATTAAGTACATGCACCCTAAAGCAAAAATCTCTCTCTTAAAAAAAGAAAGGTGAATGATTAGCTTAGACGTACCATGGGGAAAAAAGAACAATATAAACAGAAGGTATAAAAACCCAAGAGAGTGAGACCAGTAGTTGGCGTAATGGCTATATCACTGGACTCTCACGTAGTCAACCATGGTTCGAGTCCCAGACCTGGTGACTTAAAACTCACGTACTGGTGTGCATGCCCAAGATCCCGAGAGGAGAATGGAGGAGAAGGGATTGCAGCGTGGCCATTCTGCCTGGAGGGTGATTTTTCACTTTCTGTCTCTCTGTCTCTCTCTGTCTTTCTGGTGAGCACATGCGCTCTATAGCAAAAAAACTCTCCAAAAAAAAAAAAAAGCCCAAGAGAGAAAATGGCATATTTCACAGCTACAGTTCCCAAATCCACAGAGCTAACCAACTGAAGATTGAAAATATTATTAAAAAAAGAAACCAATTCAAAATAAATAAAAATGTAAAATTTTAAAAATACGGTATAACTATTTATATAGCATTTACACTGAATTAGGTATTTTCAGTAATCAAGACATGACAAGTTATATAAGAGCATATGTGTAGATTACACGGAAATACTGTGCCATTTTGTATACCTCACAGTAAGCGTCTGTAGAGTTTATCTGCAGGGATCCTGAAACCATATCATAAGACAACAGTATTGAGTTTTTTAGATGATGCTAACTACCAATTTTTAATAGGAAAGAAAAAAGAAATGGTAAAATATTGAGCAGAAGTTTAATTTTAGGTTACATGTGGGAGGTGTGTGGGAGGCTCAAATATTTTTAAAGGAAATGACAGTACCACAATCCTGTGGGGAAGAGCATACTATTGTGTGATTAATCAAAACAATATCCAGAGGCTGTTTAAAGTTGTAATATTATGGTATTACACAAAGCTGCCAACAATTGAATGACCAGTTCTATAGCAGAAAGTACTGGAACTGATCCAAAAACAGAAGAAGATAAGGCCCTTGGACATTCTGTATGTCGAAGGCCCTTGAGCCACATGAAAATGGTGACTCTTCAGCCATTTTTTTCTTCCCCCTTCTTATTTTTTAGTTTGCTACAAGGTGTGTGCACTTGCTAGAGAAAGACAGAGAGAGACAGAGACAGCAAGAGAGGAAGTGAGAAATCATTGCCCAGGGGGATGGCCATGCCATAATCCATTCTCCTCTCTTCTCCCCTGGGGCTTTGGACATGCACACACATGCACCAGGTGTTTTTCAAGCCACAGGGCCCAGGACTCAAATTACACAATCAGCCATGTGGGGATCCAGCTGCCATAACCTCCACGTCACCTACTGGCCCCCTCAGTCTTTTTTTAATCTACAAATATTGGAAGTTTTACATGGCTCATCTCAATATTCTGATGCTACTTGCCAGACTCTCCAATTCTTAAATCCTAAAATGTCAGGTCAGCTGTTCCACTAAAAATCCTCCACTGAATTTGATCCAATGAATTTTTCTAGACAAAGTAACAAATAGCTTCCAAAAGATCAACAATAGTTTTCATGTAAAATATTTACTTCTCAACCACTTACTTTGTTATGAATAAAGAGTTTAAGAGCTTCTTTTGGGTAATCCAGTGTCAAAAGTGTGTCCAGAAATCGAGGTAGAAAAGGCGTTGGTTGCTCAATGAAAACACCTATGGTCACACTTGGATAGACCTTTGTTTCAAAGCACACACAAAAATAAGTGTTTGTTAGTATGGTTTCATTTTAAATTGTATTCAAATTATAGCCACTTTACCATAACAAATACTATGACCTCAGTACAACCTAATCTGCTAAACTGAGATGGCCTTACAGCAGATCTTTCACACTTAGAATAAATTTTCTTTCCTTTTTTTTTTTTTTTTGAGAGAGGATTTTTGCTATTGGGCACATGCGCTCGCCAGAAAGACAGAGCGAGACAGAGAGACAGAAAGTGAGAAATCACCCCTCCAGGGGGGATGACCACACCGCAATCCTTTCTCCTCCATTCTCCTCTCAGGATCTTGGGCACGCATGCACACGCGCCTGGAGTGAGTTTAAGCCACCAGGTCCAGGATTCGAACCGTGGTCGACTTCATAGGAGTTCAGTGACATAGTGATTATGCTAACTGCTGGTCCCTTAGAATAAATGTTGTGGGCCTCAGGCAAGATGATTTTCCTAAATCCTGTCTTGGCATTATGATTGGTTAAAAAGGATATTCACTATGATACTTTTTATATAGATGTAATTGAAGATATTGCCCAACCTACTAGTCAATGCTTTGTTGATGATACCCTTGAAGAAATTTTTCCAGAATTCTATTTTAAAAACTTCATCTAGGAAACCAAAATGGTAATTGTGTTTCTCTTCTTATTTTCATGGCTGGTAGCTCAGTGCTTCATTTGTAGCTCAAATAAAGCAAACAAGCAATCATAGGGGACTTGAGCTCTTATTTTTATCCTAGAATATCCTTTTTAATCTCATTTTCCTGCTAGTCTTTTACTTTGTCTCATTATTATATATAAAGAAAGTTATTTTCTTTAAGATACTTTATCTTTCTTCATATATTTTATATATATTTTTAAGAACTTCCTATTAAAATGTTTTAATGTATGCATTATCTTTTTTATATATATATATATATACATGAGAAAGTACCCCCCAAGGGAAATGGTCACACAGCAATCTCTTCTCCATTTTTCCTTTTGGGATTTGGTGCAAGCAAGCACACATGCCTGGTATGTTTTCAAGCTGCCAGGTCCAGGGCTTGAACCATGTAGTTGGCCTTGTGGAAACCAGCTGCCTTAACAAGCACATCATCAGCTGGCCCTATACAATATCTTCCACTCATCACATAAAAGCTTCTGAACTTTCCTTATACATGGCAGCCCTTCTGACGGACAATTAGCAAAAGGAATGAAAGATCCGGGATTGAAAACTTACAACTACATGTGGAAGACAGAGATAGAAATAAACTACCATGTAACACTGTTACTACCAGAACCATATGCAATGTCTTTTTAAAACTATGTCTTAGGAACCAGCAGATGGCATGATGGTTACGTGACTGGACTCCACAGGGCTGACTGTGGTTCAAGTCCCAGACCTGGCAGCTTGAAACTCATGCCAAGTGCATGTGCATGCATGCCCCAAATCCCAAGAGAATGGAGGGAGGGGGACTGAATGGAGGAAGCATGGTCGCAATGTGGAGTGATTTCTTAGTTTCTGTCTCTCTCTCTCTCTCTCTATGTCTCTCTGGCGAGCATATGTGCCCTATAGCAAAAAAACTCTCCTAAAAAAAAGAACAAAAAAAACTATGTTCTAAAGATTAGCCTTTAGGACTATAGTTATTGTTTTGTTTTGTTTTTTAATGTCGTATCTGTTAAATGCTGAATTAGGTACCTCTTCCCATCTTTTTGCATATGGTACTCATACATTGTTCCACTATCTATATTATAACTTAATATTTCTTTCCATAGAAATCTACTTTGTACACTGTCATATTTTATTGGTATATCAATTGATTCACTCACTTAAATATCACTAAATGAATAAACAAATAAAAAGAACTAAAAACAAAATATCTGCCTACTAAGTGTTCTCAATTTAATAGGAGAAATAAGCAAAAACAAATCATGAAAACAAAATCAGCCCCATAGTACAGTGGGGGAAGGCAGTGCCTAGAAAGACAGATACCACACCACTGACCACGGTTTAAGTCCCAGCCCCGGCAACCTGAAAAACATGCGTGTGGGGAAGCAGCAGTTAGCGTAATGGCTATGTCGCTGGACTCCCATGTAGTCGACTGTGGTTCACGTCCCGGACCCGGTGGCTTAAAACTCACACCGGGCATGTGTGCGTGCGTGCCCAAAACTCCAGGATGAGAATGGAAGAGAAGGGATTGCGGCGTGACCATTCCCCCTGGGGGGTGATTTCTCACATTCTGACTCTATATCTCTCTCTGTCTGTCTGGCAAGCACACACGCCCTATAGCAAAAACCTCTCCAAAAAAAACAAAATGTGTGTGTATGCATGCTCAAAATCCTGATGGGAATGAGAAATGGAGAGGAAAGCATTGTGGCATGACCACATCCCATTGGGGTACTTCCTCTCTCTCTCTCTCTCTCTCTCTCTGGTGACCTCATGGAAAAAA